GAATTTTCATCTCTTTTTTGATGGCCTTCATGTCGACCTTTTTTGGCATCAGCTCAGGTGGCACTGGCTTGCCCTCCCTTTGGAGTTTCCTTCTTGCAAGCCTGTTTGCATCAGCTTGCTTGCCCCTCATGCACCATCTATCATGTGTGAGGAGCACATCATCTGGACTGCCTTGTTCAGGCTCAGTGTTGGGGCTTGCTGGCTCAGTGGGGGTGTGAGATTGTGGAGTTGGAGGAGCATACCATTGCTCTCTGTACCAACTCTGCTTCCCACCATCCCACCAAGAGGCAGCCTTGTGCAGGCTCCCACCAGCCTTGCCCAGGCTCTGGCCCCCAAGATGACCAACTGCCTGATGCAGATGAAGAGGATTGGCCTTGCTCAGGCCCAGCTGACCACCAAGTGTCCTGCATGCCTTGCTCAGGCTCTGGGAGTTCTGTGGCTGACCCACCTCCTGTTCTCTGGGTGCCAGTAGGGAGGCGCTTCATCTACCTCCCACTCATCCTCCCAAGCACACACAGCTGACTCACCAGCTATGTAGGCACCCAGAGTCCAATCATCTTGGATTGCCTTATCCAGGCTGTCCTCATCCTCTTCATCCAGAGGAAACCATTTCCCTTTCAAGGAGAGGTAGTACCTTTTGCCCTTGTACTCCCTCACCCTCCACCACTTCAAACCGCCTTGCGCAGGCTCAAGGAAGGCCATTGAGAGCAAAGCCTTATTCAGGCTCCAGCTGGTGGCAGGTGGCATCAAACATGCCACCAGCAAAGCCTTACACAGGCTCACCCACAGCAACCCTGTGGCCATGGCTCCAGATCCATGTAAAGAGGCGGCGACCTACACTGTAGTGTCTATAGTTTGTGAAGTGGTATATGATGTGTGCTGAAGTTGTGGTTGTATATGGAGCTATGCTGTGAAATTGTGAAATTGTATGAAGTTTGTGGGAAGTTGTGAGAGCATGACCTAATTATGTGCCTTAGCTAGGTGCCCTTGTGTGACTTAAAGTTGTGCATCCTTATTGTGACTTGTGTAGTTTGTGTAGTTTGTATTTGGCTGTGTGTTGGAGAATGCGTGGCTGTGGGTTGGTGTGTGTGTGTGTGGTGGAGTGTTGGTTGGTGTGCTGGGGAATGCAAATCTAGATCCAAAGAAACAGTTGCGCCCCTAGCTTTTGAGCCAACAGCAACAGATTAACCTCTGTGTTTGTGTGTGGACCTAACCAACTGAGGTGAACCCTTGACCTAACCAACTCACCCTAGTCTTTTTTAATCAAACAACTGTAGCCTGTTTCAGGCTGTTGGGTGAAAATGAAAATATGCAAAACAAAACCTTGGGCAGGCTTGAAATGCACTGGTTTGGCTGTATCATGCCTTGTTGGTTTGGCTGTATCATGCCTTGTGCAGGCTGGAATATGTTGTCCCTAATCCACATCTATGGCACACTTGAGCAAATTATTCTTGATCTGCACAAGTTCTGCCTTGCTCAGGCCCTGCTGGCGCTGTGCTTTGTCCAGAAGTATCTGCATCAGTCGGCTTTGCTCTGGGCCCTTTTCCATGTTCAAATTGACCAGGCATTGTGGCTTGCTTTGGTGGCTGTCTCTTGCGACAATGTATGCCTTTTTGGCTGCAAAGGTTGCTTTCACCCAAGAAAAATTCACAGAAGCTTTCCAGGCCCCATGCTCAGCCATTTGCACAGCTGGCCTTGCACAGGCCCTAACAGGCTCTGCAATGCGTGTTTGCCTTGCACAGGCTTTGGGTGAAGCTGCAGGTTTTTGTTCCCTGCTGCAGGCTTCTTCATGGGTGAGCCTGCTGGCTTCCTCAGCACAACTGCGTTTTGTAAAGTGACACCTGCTATCAGACTAGGAATGCTTGATGCCTTGCCCAGGCTCCAAAAATTTTTTTCTTTCACCTGAGTCTTTTTCAAATCTCTTTTCAGGAAGACACTTAAAAAGATTCTGTGCCTTACACAGGCTTGCTCAGGGTCAGCACTCCAGCTTTGGGGGTCACAAGTCTCCAGGTGTGCCCTCACAATAGCAATCTCTTTCTGGTAAGTGCCTTGCTCAGGCTCCACAGGCAAAACTGCTGCCATGGCAATGGAATGAAGAAAGCTGTGCTTCGCTTGCTTTGCTGGCTTTAGCATATTGTATTTGATTCTTTATGTAGTGGACATACAGTATATCCAAGAAGAGCTTCTTGGAATCCAAGAAGTGCTTCTGAGAAGTGCTTCTTTGACCTTCAAAGCAGTGCTTCTTGCTTTTTTGCATGCAAAAAGCTGGAAGCTAGTTTTCAAAGCTGCTAGAGCATCAAGAACCTTCAAAGAAGCTAGGTTTTTGGTCTGCTAGGCAAGAACCCTTGTTTCCCAAACCTAACTTCCAACATGTTCAGAAGCCACAAAACTCAGCTACCAGCCACTTTCTAAAGCTTACAGGATCTTCAGGGTGGTCAAGCTGATGATGCTGCCAATAAAGCCAAAGAATATCAGTTTGAATCCCTACGCAAAATTTACTTCTATGATGCATGGAGGTGGAAGATCGAGCTGAACCAACCGGACTCCCTCCTTCATCATCCCCCGCGTCCAGGGCTGTTGCAAAATGGCTGCTACTGGCCCCCTAGCCCGACTGGCCAAGTTTGCACCACTGCACCGCATGATACACAGGCCAGTGGCACGTTGGCCGAAGTCAGTTTGATTGATACCAGTTCAGAAAGAAGTAGCAGAGACACCTCCCCAAGTGAGGTTCCCGTGCCGGAGAGCAGAGGACAGGAAGCGACGTCCCTGACTTCCCCCACCGCTGTCGACAACTCTGATGAGGCAAATAACTGCTCCCAGGACAATGATACGGAGCCATCTGAGGAAGATCCACAGGTGGTCACGATCACCTCCATGAGCGAAGGGGACGATGATTCGGACGGTGCTACGGCTGAGATCCCGGAGAACCAAGCTGCCACAGATGCGGCCAGGGCAAAAAGGCAGGGCGTACAGTCGGAAGGAGAAAGAGCAGAGGAAACAGAAAGTGGGACCACCGATGAAGTGATTGATATTGAAGTCAGTGAGGAAGCAACTACTGCTCAGGCTTCGGTAACTGCAGCCGGGGCAGGGGAGCGCCACATACCAGGCTCCTCACCTGCCCGTACTGAACCACACTCTCCTAGCGGGCAGACAACAAAAACACCCCAACTGCTGGCTGAGGCGAATGCAGACATGGAAAAAACGGGTACTAAGCGACCTGCCTCCATGGCCTCTTTGCAGGATGAGAATGCACACCCTGAGTTCTTCTGCAGACTATGGCACTGACAACTCCGTCGCAGGAGAAGGGAAACGACGCAACAGATGGTCGCAAGGCCTTCTGGTTGGCTCGACTGCTCCTCCTCAAGGAGTGGACCCGGCAGGCACGCCCTCAAATGGTCCATCAAGCCCGTCCAATCATGGAGACTCGGGTACCGCTGAGTCACCACAGGGAGTCCCACAGCCAAGGCCGCAAGGTCCGCTAACAGTCAAATCCAAGCAGCCAAACCGGCTGAGGAACAACGGCAGAATGCCCCTGAGCAAGGTCTGTTGCATGCGCTTCATGCCCGACTACAAACACCGCCGACAGCCAGACCAGCTGCAACGGGTGCGGCCAATCCCCAATGCCAGCACCTCCTACCAACGATCCAAGTACAGGCGCTCACACTCCAGCCGGCACAACTGCCCCCACCACGGAAATATACCTACAGGAGGAGGACGAGCAGCCCGGATCTATGGATGCTGAGATTACTCTGCTCTCAGAGCAGAGAGCGATGCATGTGGTATGCCATGCGGATTTGCGCGGCCTAAGCAGAAAATGCGGTTACGTAGCGTCGTACCACGAAACGTACTAGTATAAAGGCAGCGCGTCGCTGGTAGGCGGAATACTTGGCGGCATCGTTTAAAAGAATTGTTTCCAATGTGTCGGCGATCCGTATAACGAATTATGCCCGGAGTATCGCAACGCGATTTGCGCGGTCTTAGTAGGAAGTATATTTACGTGGCGCCGTATCACTTAAGAGCGCGAAATATGCTTGCATAAATGCGACGTAATACTATTAATAAACGAAATAATTAGCGGCATCGTATAATAGGATTATTTCTTATTTATGGACAATCCGTATGGCGAATTACGTCCGTAATATCGCAATACCTTGCGGATTTGCGGCCTTGGTAGAAAATACGTTTATATAACGCCGTACCATTGGGGAACGCGAAACATGCTACCGTAAACGCGGCGTATTGCCAGTAAGCGGGATAATTGGCGGTATCGTATAATAGGATTGCTTTTCATATATATAGGTAAAGCATACGGCGAATTACTTCCGTAATATCGTAATGCCATACGGATACGAATTTGCGCGACCTTAATGGAAAATACATTTATATGATGTTATATCAGTGGGGAGCGCGAAACGTACTAGTGTAAATGCGGCGTATCGCTGATAAGCGGAATGATTAGCGGTATTGTATGATAGGATTGCTTTTAGTGGGGGAAGAGACCGGGTGGCGAAATTACGTCCGTGATGTCGCGGCGCCATGCGGATTTGCGCGGCCTTGGTGGGAAATACGATTACGGATCTCCGCGTTTTCTCATTCATTTCGCTTGGAAGATCTTCTCTCTTAATTCTTATATCTTCTTATTTTGTTACGTCTTGTTCAACACCTTTATATCCAAAATTCAAACCCTCTACTACATCTGCTCACCTCCTCTACGCCACTTGTTCCTGTCATCACATCTTCTCACAGATCTCCCTTCATATCTACTTTCTCTTCTCCTTTCTTCTCACCTCTTCTTGTACCTTCTGACCAATTCTACATCCTAAATCATTAGAAACTAACATGTATGTTCTACATCTACAAACTTAACATCTACAATCTTTTCTTTTTCTCGCTCTCGTGCCACCCGTCGTCTAGTTTCCTTTTTCAGCGCAGCCTTTGCTGGCGTTAGTGGCTTGCAACGTGTCAGCATCAAGCATGGCTGAAACACGTGCGAATTGATTTCAAATGACGCCTTTGGCTTTGCCAACTTCAATAAAGGCATCAATGCATCGTTGGACTTGTTCAGGCCTAGAGACCAAAGATTTGAGCAACGATTTCGAACCTGGCTTAGGGCCCGAACTGGTGAGCTGCACTCATTTGCACCCGGATGCCTCAGCCGCGAGCAACTGAGCCAAAAGCTCTTGCTCCTAGTAGCGTCCTTGCTCCTGGTAGTGATGCCATTTGTTCCTTGTAAAAAACAACTGAGCTTTTTGCGCGCTGCACCTTTGGGCACTACGGGGTAGCTGAAGCCAATCACCTTGAAGTGTGGAAAACATGAGTGCCCATGTGGATCGCGCCAAGCCTGAGAGGCACGCGTATATGCCACGTTTTAGCATCTCATCAGCCATTTCAGTGGCAAGTCGGGCATCTCCCAGCATCACTGGGATGATTGGGCAGCTCCTTGAAAAACACCGCCAACACACAACAAAAAGAGGTGGGAACGGGTCAAGGGCCCTGCTCATGGCCACTGAGCTTGAAGCCCGCCGCCTTGAAACTGTATGAATGGCACCATCGGTTGAGGTGTGCAGGTCGAACCAAACGTGTGGCATGCCAAACTCACGTCAAATGAACGTTGCCGCTGCCTTCATTGACGAGCGGAAATGCTGCACATTTGCCTGACAAGGCAGGCGCAAGTTGCTCTCCCTCTGCAAGTGGCCCGACAACCCAAAGCCAACCGTTTCCGCAACCTGCAAAGAGCTCAACAAACCTGCGCTGTCTGACAGCATCTTGAAGACCTCCAGCCACCCCACGCAAACGTCAAAAAGACTGCGCAAATGCTTCCAATATGAACTTCCAAGAGCGCCTCTAAGGATGCCCCGGCAACCTTAGAAGATGTCACTTCAAACCGCACTCAGCAGCACAAAGCGGCGCCTGATCTGAGCTGGCCACTGAAGGGGCAAGCGTGTTGGAAAATAGGTATGGCCTAGCTCTTTCCATGCGCCAGCAAAGCGCAGTCCCGTTTAGTGTTTTGTATCGTTACATTCAAGCGCGGGCTAACAAACGCACATGTGCGCGCAAGCGAGCTTCAAAGTTCCGCCACCAAAGCCCAATCCAATACATACACAAGAGAGTGAATGAACGGAAGCTAGACGGACGCAGTTGAGGCTTAATGAAGTGCATGAACTTGTGGAAGTGCCACTGCATTTGCCAATCCGCCCATGCCTTGAAGTTATATACAACTATAACTATCTCAATCGTTCGATGCATCCGTCACGCAGCCAACTTGGGTTGTTTTGTCGTTCTGTTTTGCCCTGAATGACCGTGCGTGCATTTTGACTGTCAGCAAGCTGTAGAAGGAACGTGGGCCCGTCCGCAGGAAGCCAGTGGTCCGCAGGAAGCCAAAGGAAGTGCTGTCAGCAGTAGTAGAGCGTGACTTGGTCGGCACGGGCACAACTCAAGCGTGTGGATGGACAGCATGGTGGGAATATGTGGCAAAGCTGCCTTGAGGCATTATGCAGGCCTCTTCGTGGCCTTCTCACCATGGCTGGAAAAGGGACTTCACTTTCCCATAGCGAAGTGGATTCAAGTGATGGCATCTTGCGATGTTCGCGCGGGCTGTTTGGTTGCCTCACCTTTGTTTGGGGTCTCACATTGTTCCCAGCGTGCCGAAACTTGGCGAAAGAAGTTGGCCGGTCGGACTTCTGCCAGGGGAACGCGCATCTAGCTACATCAGCCACACGCGCCCTCGCAGGCCTAACGCCGGTGCAAGCATGTACATACACACTGGGCCAAACTGCATCAATACGGCGAGCTGTAAGATGTGGAGCCAAGGCCAGAAATGCTCTTTGCTCCGTTCGTAGCGATGCCAGGAGCCCCGTTCGTAGCTTCTTGCTCCTAGTAGCGATGCCCTTTGTTACTAGTATGCTTCTTGCTCCTAGTAGTAAGGCCAGGAGCCCCAAGTAGCGTCCTTGTTAGTAAGGCCAAGGCCAAGATGGCGCAAAAATGCAGCGGGAATGATGCCCCTACGACGACAACTACCGGCGCAGGCAAAAGTTCGGTTGGCGCTTGCTGCCCTGTGTGGAGGCCGGTGCTTGCTGCGAAGAAGCAGCGCTGGGTTGGGCGAGTCTTGCAAGTGAAACAGGTGAGCAAAGTGAATCAAGAGATTCAAACACTGATTTGATTTTCACGCCGCAATATGCCACATGGCTGGCTGCTCCTGCCCGCTGTCCCTGACTGCTCCACTTAAACAATTTCAACTTAATCCTGGTGCGTTTGCTTGAAGCTCCCACCGGTTGCCAGACACGCTCAAGATGATGTGCGCGCGACTGGAACGACCGAGCCCGAACACACCTAAATCACTGAAAGGCTAAATATAGTGGCTTAGAAGTCACAGGCACCAAAAACCTAGAGTTGAACCATTCAAGTTCAACGATTGCGAGCAATCGTGATAAGGACAAGTCTGCAGAATAGGGACGACTGCAAGTGACTACATATCGAATGCCTAGCAAGTCCTCTCAACAAAGCTGCTGTGGCTGCTGAGAATCTCGCCTTGCTTTGTTTCTGAGCAAGTCAATTAGGGCCTAGGAGCAAGGACGCTACTAGGGGCTCCTGGCCTTGCTACCAGGAAAAAGAGGATAGAAACAAACATGTCAATCCACTCTGCACATCTCTGCGCGCTTGTGTTAGCTGGTGCGCCTTTGGTCCAGTGGTGTAACCACCAGTGGCGCCACCTAGTGCCTTGGAGCTTGGAGAAACGTCGAGCGCCAAATCGCCTTCTCAAACTTGTCGCTTTTGCTCCGTTCGTAGCAATGCCCTTTGTTCCTAGTAGCGAACATTGCTCCTAGTAGTAAGGCCAGGAGCCCCTAGTAGCGATGGCAGGAGCCCCTTGTAGCTCTCAAACTTGTCGCCTTTCCCAGAGTGCTATTGATGATGTCGACGCGGCCTGGCATGTTTGGCAGGTTGCCCGTGACGGAAAGAATACTTCGCCCCTGCCGCGGCCTGAAACTCCACAAAGCTCTGGAGTGCCTCTGCCTGTGGCTCCTTGGTCTGCAAAAATATGTCAAAATATGTCAAAGCTTACAAAAAACCTGCTGACATAGGGGGCTTTTGGTTCTTAAAGCGCTGGAAGAAAGGTACTTCCCTCCTTTCCCTTTCATTTTTCACCAAATAGCAGGCACTCTTGACTCAACCGAAAACAAAGGTGGCACCGGAATGCGTTGCACTGCTTCACACCTTTTTCAAGCAACTTGCACCTTGCACAGCGATATTCAAGCCGCCTGTAGGCCAAGGCGCGAAATATGATGCACATTTGTGCAAATTGATAACCAAACCTTGATGAAACTTGCCCCCAAATAGGTCCACAAGTTTTGGATCGGAAGTCCACCTTTTTTGTGGAAGACTTGTGCCAGTCTTCTACTTGAAGACTTGTGCCAATCGCGTGTGCCAGGCACCAAAATGAAGCCCTTCTCTCAAGAACCTCAAAGCATAAACAACATTGTTTATTGAACAAGCACACATACCCTGAAGTAATGCAGTGGCCGTTCTCGCTTAGCTTCGGACGCTACTTGAGCTAAAGCCAGAAAAGAACCTACCAGCAAGCAGGCTTGTGGCACAATCCGAGGTGCCTGTTTCAACCTGGACGCCAAGAGTCAATAAATTGCAATACTTTGCGCAAAGACGCAAATAATCTCTAGTAGTAACAAGAAGCTAGTCGGAACAAGTGCATCGCTACTAGTAACAAGTGCCTTACTAGTAGTAACAAGGACGCTACTAGGAACAACATGAACCGGTTCTAATGCTCAAACCCAAAAATCTCTCCTTGCTTCCGGCTTGAGCCCCATCAAGCTGATGGTTCCGCTGACAGCACCCAGTCCCGCACCCACAAGGAAGCCTGCGAGACCTCAAAACAGAATTAATTGGCTGCGGTCCGTCAGCCCGTCAGTCTTAAAAGGCAGTCTTGTGGAAGAATTAAATGCATTCTTGTTCAAAACACAAAAGCAGTTTTTGCAAGATTTTGGATACACCACACACATTCTTAGGGTGCCATTGAGGCATTCTTGCAAATTCTTAGTGTTTCTTGTCCGTTGGATTTGGCCAATCGAATTCATGACAGCTCAGAGTGAAGGACCCAAGCCCGAGCGCTCTGGTTTCTTGTAGGCATGAAGCTGCCAACCCACGATTTGGTTTTCGTCTTTCGGACCTTGCTAGTAGCTTCTTGCTCCTAGTAGCGATGCCAGGAGCCCCTAGTAGCGATGCCCTTGTTCCTAGTAGCTTCTTGTTACTACTAGCGTGGCACCTGTTACTACTAGCGTGGCACTTGTTCCTGTTCCAACCTTCCTGTTCTCCAAGGCTCCATCCACGGCCTTGTCAAGCGTCGAGCGTTCATGGCGATCTCGGCTCTGTGGCCGAATCTCCCACCACATCGACGCGAAGCACGTGTTTCGCTCGTTCTCTCTAAATGTGAAAGCAAAAACAGAAAAGTAATCCAAACAGCTGTTTTTCGCTCCAAACTGCTTGCGTTTTCTCCCCTTTCATTTGATTCGGAATTCTGTGAATGTCAGCAACAAGAATGGATGTATCTTGCCTGTCACCTGCCAGCTGGAAAGGTGGGTTTGTTCGTCATTTGGAACGCCGCTCCTTTGACTTTTTCGACAGGTTTCTTCGAACTCAGAACTGCGCACCATCCCACGAACAAACAGCAACAAGAAGCTACTACGAACAAGGGGGAATCGCTAATAGAAGCCAGGACGCTACTAGGGGCGCTCCTGGCATGACTACTAGTAACAAGAAGCTACTAGGAACACGAACACACAGCAGCAAATGAAGAATACGAACGCGCTCCCTGCGGAATTGAGGGTGAGGCCCAAAAAACCTGTGGCATGGCACTCATCTACGAAGACTTGTGCCTGCCAAACAGGGTTGTACACAAACACTACACGGCTTTTCCACCTAAACCCAACAAAACACAATAACTTTTGTGCCTCGTACTTGTCCGCTAAATCGCAAATTTCACCTCAGAATGGTTATTTTTTGCGTTTCATCCATATCCCGTTTTGGGAAGAAGTGGTGCACAAAGCTTATGTTTCGCAAACAATATCGTAGCCATGGCCTCCTCCGGCCTCCTCCCTTTACTTAATCAAATAGCCACTACTAAATGAAGTAGGGAGGGAGGAGGGAGCGGGCCAAGCGAATAACATAAAGAAACATCGACCATTCTCTGAGAGCCACGAAGTGGAGCAATGTCTCCGTCCATGGAGAAGACCTGAAAACACGTCGAGGCCTGCGTCCGTGCTCCTAGTAGCGTCCGACGCTCCGTTCGTAGCGATGCCCTTTGCCCCTAGTTGCGTCCATGCTCCTAGTAGTAAGGCCAGGAGCTCCTAGTAGCGATGCCCTTGCTCCTAGTAGCGATGCCAGGAGCCCCTAGTAGCATCCTTGCTCTTCATAGTGAGGCCAGGAGCCCCATTCGTAGTGTCCGATCGCTCCTACTTCTGTTTTCACTGTGTCATACCGTTGGAAAACATGAAGCACGTGTCTACAGTGCCATTTTGGCTTCCGGCTCCATCAGTCACAATCATGCGCTGGCGGGTCCCTTTCGCAACACACTCCCTGAGAATTTCCTCGGTCGCACTTGGATCGAAAAGGAGCTTCTTTCACCAAACTGGACGAGTGGCCCGCAAACACAAACAACATGCTACTAGTAGCAATGTTCACTACTAGGAGCAAAGGGCATCGCTACTAGGAAAAAGGACGCTACTAGGGGCTCCTGGCCGTACTAGGGTTTCTGCAAGTACAGATGCAACGAACATGTCTGCATCAAGACTGTTGACGAACATTGCATGCGCCCCACACAGCAGCATGAGTCAAGTTGTGCGAGTTGAACGTTTTCCCATTCCCCCAACAGCACGGGGCCGCGCAACGCACTTAAACGAGCCTTGCCAAACCGCGTGGCACAGGGTCTCTTCACACATGTAATTTGGCCACACTATGGGCCACATGCTAAATGGAGGCCTTCGCTAGTAGGTTGATGCTCATGCTAGATGCACTAAGCCTCGCTCACTCCAGCGACGTGCCATGTGCACCGAGTTTACCCGACAGCGCTCTTACCATGCACCATGCTCCTAGTAGTGTCCTCTACCCCCCCTCGCCAAAACTTGCATCAGTGCTGTACTTACACGGATGTGCTTCGCTGCGTCTGCCAGCAAAGGGTTCACGTGACGAATCAAAAGCCTTACGCCACGCCCATTAGAAGAACGCTACTAGGGGCTCCTGGCCTTACTACTAGGAGCAAAGGATGCTACTAGGAGCAAAGTGCATCGCTTCTAGTAACAAGTGCCTTACTAGTAGTAACAAGAAGCTACTAGGGGCTCCTGGCCTTACTACTAGGAGCAAAGGATGCTACTAGGAGCAAAGTGCATCGCTTCTAGTAACAAGTGCCTTACTAGTAGTAACAAGAAGCTACTAGGGGCTCCTGGCATCGCTACTAGGAGCAAGGACGCTACTAGGGGCTCCTGGAATCGCTACTAGGAGCAAGAAGTTACTAGGAAAAGCCCACGCCGCTCCCATCTCAGATTCTCTGTGCGCACGTGATATCCAAGGAACCGAACAAAGCGACGACCGGGGTAGGCCGCGCACTGACTTGGCTTGATTTTTACTACTAGCGATGCACCTGTTACTAGAAGCTTATTGTTTCTAATAGCTTCTTGTTACTACTAGTAAGGCACCTGTTACTACTAGCGTGGCACTTGCTTAACTTAGACCTCCTTTTCTTTTGTCGTTTCTAATCGCGATGGCCTCCATCCCAAGTTCCAAACACTCAAGTGAACGTATACATGTGCACTGCTACATACGCATGAACATGTCCATGTCACACATAGACTTGCGCAAGGTCCAACGTAGTAGGTCTCCTACATGTGCAAGAAGTAGGTCTTAAGTAGCAATGGCGAAGTAGCATGTCTTGAGCCAGAAGAACCCTTTGCAGCCTGTGCAGTGCTCTCGGGAACAACAACTTCTGTGCTCTAAGAATCCTCCAAATGAGCCATGTCCATATGATTGTACCTGTCACTTTGCCGCCCGCTGAAGCAAAACAGCGACTGTCTGACCATGTGACATGACGTCTGCGTCCCTGCCTATGACGCTGTGCCTTGCACAATCGAATGCCATCAATAATAGAGGCATGGTTCAACCTGGCAAGCTTCAATTAGTTCTTCTCTTTCAGCATAGTTCCGAATTTCAATACTCAAGGACAGCTTCAGCACCAAAAATGTTGTGTTGATCAGCCATTGATCAGCAACAAGAAGCAGAAGTCACTAACTCTATGAAGTGCAGAAACCATCGCGGAACAAAGCGTGAAGTGCAGAAACCATCGCGGAACAAAGCGTGCAAACACTGCTGAAACTGGCAACTGAAAGCCCCAGGGCTGTACTTTCCATTGGCACAAACATCGGCAAACCATAACTCAGTTGCTTTCTCCATTACACTCTAAATGGCCATTTTGTGTCATGTGGATGCCAAATGAACCCCACAATGCTGCTTGACTTTCTGGATGTTAACACACTGGGCAAGCGTGTAGAATGCTGGCAGGAAAAAATTGAGCTCCAAACACGTATAGTTTGATGGCTACTAGGAGCCAGAAGCTACTAGGAGCAAAGGGCCTTACTACTAGTAACAAGAAGCTACTAGGCTCCTGGCCTTGCTACTAGGAGCAAGGATGCTACTAGGGGCTCCTGGCCGTACCATTAGGAGCATCCTTAGTAACAATTAAGCTTCTAGGAACTGGCAACTTCATGCCTACCTCGAAGAGCCGATAGCTTTCTCTGATCCGTAGCGTCCTTGCTCCTAGTAGTAAGGCCCTTTGCTACTAGTAGCTTCTTGTTACTAATAGCTTCTTGTTACTACTAGTAAGGCACTTGTTACTACTAGCGATGCACTTGCTCCTAGTAGCTCCTAGTAGCGTCTTAACAAAACTGAGAAATCAAAAACGCTGGTGTGGCGCATCAGAGATGACTGCATCCTCTGGTCCAAGGCAGGCCTGAGCATGTAGCACTGCATGACTGCATTGCTGTAGCATGCTTTGTTCATGTCAAGGACACTCCGCATGTGGAGAAAACTTCACCCGCCTCAAAAAGGCCAGCGTTGGCATCAAAACAAGAAGGAAAAAGGATCGTGTCTTCCGTGCCGTGGAAGGTGCTGATGGCTGCCTCGCTGCAAGGACCCACAACCTATTAGTGGCCTCCAACCTAAGAGCATCCTTGCTCCTAGTAGCTTCTTGTTCCTAGTAGCGAGGCCAGGAGCCCCTAGTAGCGAACATTGTTCCTAGTAGTAAGGCCAGGAGCCCCTAGCAATTGGACATTACCCATCAATTTGCCAATCCAGTGCCTCAAGCTGCTTGTGCACATCCTCACAGTGAGGCGAACGTCAGACACGTCCCATGCAAACAGCCCACAAGTGTCCAATTGGCGTCCTGCGTTCCGCAAATGAAGCGCACTGAAGACAGCCCAAAACCATGTGAAGCCAAAGTCGCTTGAGCTGCCTTTCGAGGCAAACAACCACACAACGTGAAAAGAAAAAATAACATAGAGACACAAAGAAACCTACTAGCGATGGCGTCCAACCTACTAGCAATGGCCTCCACCTAGTAGCAAACTACATTCTTCTCATTGATTCAATTAATATACCAAATCTTGCAACAGTGCTTAAACCCGTTTTTACTTCGAGCACTGTCTTTACCGCGCCGTGTGGCAGCTATTACCCTTTGCTACAAACACGGACGTCTATCACTAGAAAAAGCCTCTTACCATCTGGTTGTCACGCATACAAAAATGTTTCTGCTTGCAGTCTTGCGCTGAGCAATCTATCCAGTGTGGTGCCATCTTTTTAATGGGGGAAACAAACTCTTCTGGTACACCAGCTACACTGAACATGGCAAAATTGGTTCAAATGTCTTGCAAACTCTTTCATTTCTTGCAGCGGTGCTTTGTCACTTGGCTCCATGCTTGGATCAAAGCAGGGTGACTAGAGAGGCCCAAGTAGTTGTTGGCGCAAAAGTTCAGAACTGGCTCTGACCTGGCATGTTCTTGGTGTTTCTGCGAGACTCACGTGAATGCGATGGCCTCCAACCTACTAGCGATGGCCTCTAACCTAAGAACAATCCTTGTCCAAATCTTTTGAATTTGTATTTCTCTTCCGTCTAATTGTGAGGAGTGACCCACCCACCACAGTGACAGCTCCACTTTGTGGAGATGACAGCACGCGTTCGACCTGCAAACATGTCCAGTCAAGCTTCAAACAAACAATGTTCCATGGGCAACGGCTGACCATCCCTGTTGATCATGACCATCATCCGCATCATCATCATCCTTCCTTCCTTCCTTCCTTCCTTCCTTCCCTCCCTCCCTCCCTCCCTCCCTCCTTCCTTCCCAACATTGCCGTCTAGTTTTCTCTTCCTTGAGGTTGTTCTCCTCATCTCAGGTGGGGCATCTGATGGCCCCTCGCTGAATCTAGGCTTCTCTAGCAACCGATGGCCTCCAACCTAATAGGAACGGCCTAGGAGCAGCTTCTCTTTTCTCCTGGGATATGAGGGGTCACCGGGTCACCGTAGAAGCCCCAAAGAGATCGATGAGAAACCCAAATGGCAAAACACATCGAGCTCTCCGCAAAACCGTACGCCTTGAAAGTACCAGCTGTGCGCATGCTTTGGAGCTCCTCAAGAAAGACTTTCGACTCAGCTTCTTCCGGTTCGCTCCTTTCGCTCGCTCCTCTTCTAAACGCGATAGGAAACCTTCATTGCGGCCTAAGGATGAAAACAAGAGTTTTCACACATAGATACTTTTCACTTGTTACTAGCAAGGGCATTGCTGCTAGTAGCAGGAAGCTACTAGCAGCAAGTGCGCTACCAGTAACAAGAGCTGAGACAATGCTCACCTTGAGCTGAGTTCAAAGACTCGTCGCCAGTCGGCGGAAGGCGCCCAAAGGCCTGATAGGGTCCGAAAGACCTTACAGCTCATGCTGACTGAGACGTCGGTTGGAGGCCATCGCTAGTAGGAAGGATCCTAGGGGCTCCTGGCTTTACTCCTAGGAACAAGGTTCGCTACTAGGGGCTCCTGGCATCGCTACTAGGACGCACCAGGAGCAAGCTACCAAGATCTAAGATTGTCTGCACAAGCCTCGCCTGGAGAGCCGGCGCAAGGTCCACATTGCGAGGAGGGACAGGCGGACAGCTGCGACGCCGTCCATCCGAGCCATGAGATGGTAGTAACAAGTGCCTTACTACTAGTAACAAGAAGCTACTAGGAACAAATGCCACGCTAGTAGTAACACAATCGCCAAAGGTTGCACCCCCAACCCGAGACAGCGCTGACAGCAGCGCTCTCAATTTTGTCAACAGCATCTAAGAGGTAGCTTCTAGTTACTAGTAGCGTTCTTGTTCCTAGTAGTACGGCCAGGAGCTACTAGTAGCGTCCTTGCTCCTAGCAGCGATGCCCTTTGTTACTAGTAGTAAGGCCATCGGTCCTTTTTGTCCATCACATCTTCAGCATCCTCGTGAGCTCTTTGGCATTGGTCTTGGCAATTTCAAGCTCCTTGAGACCGATTCAAGAAAACACGAGCAACAAGTGCATCGCTACTAGGAGCAAGAAGCTACTAGGAGCAAAGGGCATCGCTACTAGGAGCAAGAACGCTACTAGGGGCTCCTGGCATCGCCACTAGTAACAAGAAAACATTAAAAACACCATGAAACACAATAGTGTGGGAGAAAATGGACGAAAGGAGGCAGGGCCGCGGTCTGAAAGAAAAGAGAAAACCAAATGAGATTCGTCCTCAAAGGCCTTGTTGATGTAAACCTGCAAAAGAATTCAACATGCCGTGGCAAAACACTTCCAAGACGGATGAGAAGTCTTTCTGGAGGTCTCAGGTAGACTAGGAGCAAAGAAGCTACTAGGGGCTCCTGGCCTTACTACTAGGAGCAAGGATGCTACTAGGTCAACATGCAAAAAACAATCATACTGTTTTCGATGCATTTCCACCCTTCGGTGGCCCAACCGCTATTGGGTTGGAGGCGATCGCTAGTAGGTTTTGCTCCTAGTAGCGATGCCAGGAGCCCCTAGTAGCATCCATGTGTTTAATTCCAACAAATGAGCACAATGTTCTGCCTGTGGTGAGGTTGCCGCCGCTGAGTTCATCGAGAAAATACTGGAATAGGCATCGGCATCGGCGTTGGTGAGCGCCTTCACACACGTCAATACTATCAGACTCAGCGCTGTCCCCCTGCCCAAGATGATACTTTGCACCTAAAGACATAGAGCAACTCTTTTCATTTGCACCTTTGCTCCTAGTAGTAAGGCCAGGAGCCCCTAGTAGCGATGCCCTTGCTCCTGGTAGCGTCCTTCATTAGGCTGGCAAAGGGTGATCGCACGTGGCACAATTTCAGAACTCCAACAGTTGGGAGGCTGCTACTACGAGCAAGGTGGGCGTGGAGGCAATCTCGAGCCTTGATTGCGATGACGCACTTATGACGATACTCGATGTGTAGTTCCGAGGAACAAGCCTAGACCTTTTCTTTGTTCTTTATATTTCCACTTTATTTAGCAAAAAATGCGCCATGCATCTACTAGGAGCAAGGGCGCTGCTAGGGGCTCCTGGCCTTACTACTAGGAGCAAGGATGCTATTAGTAGCTCCTGGCTTCCCTTCAAACCTCCCGGGGCATTCCAAGCTCTGAGCACCCTTCACCACCCCCGCTTGGTGTCAAAATGTGTCAAATGGTTCACTTCTCCACGCCGCATGCGACAGTTATTAGCTTTGGGGTAGAGGGCCGGTTGTGTTCCTAGTAGCTTATTGTTTCTAGTAGTAACAAGTCAAGTGCATCGCTTCTAGTAACAGGTGCCTTACTAGTAGTAACAAGAAGCTAGTAGAAACAATAAGCTAATAGCGTCCTTTTGCTCCTAGTAGTAAGGCACTTGTTCCTAGTAGCTTCTTGTTCCAAACATTCTCCAAGATGCAAGCGTTTTTGCAGTGTTTAGACATTCATCCAAATGAAGCAAGGCAGAACGTCCGCCTGGTTTCTTAACAACAAAACATGTTTCGTACCTTCCTTTCCTTCTTCATTCTATTCAAGTGCAGTGCATCCGGGTCACTAATGCAGTTGCTATTCCGTCCTCTCCGCAACTAGGACCTTTCTCATCTATACTTCCTTGATGATCCGCTGAGTACGAACGATTTCGTTCGTAAATTAAAGGGAACCTATATAACCGCTACACTTTATGTTTTGTTTCTGGCATGCGTAGCGTCGTGCAGCGAGCAGTGGACCGTCCTTCAAAAAACGTTCCAAAACCTCCACATAAGCTTCAGGATCCTCAGCCTCCTGGAGCAAGGACGCTACTGGGGGCTCCGGCCTCGCTCCTAGTAACAAGAAGCTACAAGGCTCAGGGGGGGTAGAGGACGCTACCATATACTAGGTGGCTGTGGCTACTTGTTGAAGTTATAACTTAGGTTATAAGTTCTATAACCTAGGTTATAAGTTCAATAAGTATGTTAAGTATTCGCCTCTACTTATAACTAATTTGGTGATCTTATAACTAACTTATTGGACTTATGCTTTCTACTTAGTTCCTACTTAAGGTTAACTTAGGTTCGAATTAGGTTGAACTTAAGACCGATTTTTTTGAACTTTTTGACTTGATTATGTTCTGCAATTTATATGGCTCAAGGGACCCGTTGCACGCCTATATATGAACGGCGAAAGGTGAGATAGGTTTTGTCCGTTCGAACTATGGCCAATCTGCAGGTCTGTCAAATCCTTCAAGTCTTGGTGGACAGACTTGATGGGGCGACAGGACACTTGCGAACGGAGCAGGTACAAGGCATTTGTGCCTGCGCAGTGGATGAGGTCTGAACTTGTTTGAACTTTTCTGAACTTTTCTTGGTGGAATTATTTTCTGAGCTTCGAAAGGATGAGGGTCGCGGCCGAGCTATCCATATCCACATCGGATAGATCGGCGTAGCTGTACTGCGCAAACAGACCTCTTTCCATGGCCAGGGCACAAAAATAAGTGCGTGCTCCAGCTTTTTAGATGTAGGCGCAACTAAAGTAAACATACAGACAATGTAGGCGAAATGTAGGCGAATGTAGGCGGAGCAAACGCAAGCGCAGCTTCTGGTGGCTTTTTTGAGTTGCTTTGTTCCGCAGCACGGGAGCAAGCAAGCACAAAATGTCATTTGGTCTCAAGGAGACTGCGCGTGGCAGATGTGTTGCTTTGGGAAGGTGAGTCAGATGGCCAGATTGAGAACATTGTGGAAGGTGACTCTACCGCTATACACCTGGAACTCAGAATGCTTGAATATGTTTCCTCCTTACCTTATGGCAGTCTGTGGCGCAGACTGCATTGCAGATCTTGGTATAAACCCAAGATCAACAGCACATATTGCGTAGCAATGTGGTGGCGCTGGGATGATGACAAGAATCTCCTCCTACGTTTGCACTGAAGACGTTTCGCGAGTCGAAAGAAAGAGAGTTCTTGCGTCAAATAAACGAATCAAAAAACATGTGTTTGAAAAAACCCAGGCCTACTTAAGTCCTGCTTATAACCTAGGTTTTAACTCCTACAAGTCCACTTATGCATAAGTTCGATAACTAAGTTATAACATCTACAAGTTAGTTACAAATAGCCACAGCCACCTAGGAGCAAAGGGCATCACTACTAGGAGCAAGGACGCTCGCTACTAGGGGCTCCCGGCCTTATTACTAGGAGCAAGAAGCTACTAGGAACAAAGGGCATCGCTGTGCAAGGTCTCTACTAGGGGCTCCTGGCCGTACTGCTAGGAACAAGAAGCTATTAGAAACAAGAATTCAATAGAATTCGAAGTAAAACTAATTAATCTAAATTGTTTTTGAATTGAATTAGAATTGGAACAAGAAGCTACTAGGACCTTTTCGCGCGTGCGTGGACTGACATGTTCTAGACCTGTTGGACAGCAAGTCAAAGCATTCAGAAGCAGCTGTCCTCAGCCAAAGCTTTGAAAGCCTTGTCGACGTCAAACAAAGGTGATGTCATCCCTACAGTGCCAACTTCACGCCTCACCAGGCAAAGCACAAAGGCTGATCAGGCTGATCAATCAGCGATGGCCTCCAACCTAATAGCGGCGTGAAAAAACTCCGTTCGTAGCGTCCTTGCTCCTAGTAAGGCCAGGAGCCCCTAGAAGCTTCTTGTTCCTAGTAGCGATGCCCTTTGCTCCTAGTAGCATCCTTGTAGAAGCAAATGATCCCCTTTTCCATGTTGCACTTGTGTTGCACTTGTGTTGCACTTGTGCAAGGCACCGTCTGTTTCAATCGGACCTGATGTTGTCTCCTCCACCAGCAGCAATTTTTTTGAAATTGTCTGGATTTGTCAGGTCTTCCAACTGCGCAGGAGCGCAAAGTGCTTGGCAACGCATTTCTGGAAAAACACAACATGCCCTTGAACCTCGAGATTATGAATTCAACATTCTAGAACACATGGACTAACGCCGCACTGAAAATACTTCATATGTTAGACGTAGAAACACTACTTCATGACAGGCAGGAGATTGAATTGAATTTAGCTTCTGATCTGACCATCAAACTTGAGATGTCAACATGACATGCTCTGCGTGCCCCCCCCATCTCATTTCTGCAAGTATTCAACAGCAAACTGGGTTCACTCTAGGAAGCTACTAGTTACTAGGAGCAAAGGACATCGCTACTAGGAACAAAAAGCTACTAGGGGCTCCTGGCCGTACTACTAGGAGCAAGGACGCTGCTAGGTTGCCTTTCTAAAGCAAAAGAACCAGTTTCGCCCGAGCACTGTTCGGCATTAGAACCTTTGGGCACACTGATAGACCTGATGGTCGTCAATTGTCTTGTTCCTTGGCATAAAACCATACGAATCTCGAGTGCATCTCCTTGTCAGGAGATCCGTCACTATTAGTCTTGGCCTGCACAAAAACAGGTATGAGGGGCTTAGAACCTAAGAGCCTTGGTGGTGAGCGAACGCAACAATCTGGGAAGTTCTGTCATAAGCCCAAGGCCGGCTGCAAAAAAGCAATTCCTGCTTTCCTCTCAACATAGCTCATCTGACATCTGAGTAGTGACTAGTAGCTAGAAGCTACTAGTAACAAAGGGCATCGCTACTAGGAACAAGAAGCTACTAGGGGCTCCTGGCCTTACTACTAGGAGCAAAAGGACGCTATTAGCTTATTGTTTCTACTAGCAAACATTGTTACTACTAGTAAGGCACTTGTTACTACTAGCGATGCACTTGTTACTACTAGCGATGAACAAGGAAAGCAAAACGGCCTTCTGCATGGCAGCGGCCACTTGTTGTCGAGGTTCCGTCGCTCCCGCAGACGTTGCAACGGTGCCCAGCAAGGCGGAACAGGTCGACCGCCTTGGCACCTGAAGAGGATGTTTCTAGTAACAAGTGCCACGCTAGTAGTAACAGGTGCCTTACTAGTAGTAACAAGAAGCTAGTAGTAACACATTAGAATTAATTTAGAATTTAATTAACACTGTAATTCCTAGCAAAGGAATCTACTAGGACCTTTTCGCGGGCGCGCGCGCGCGCGGGAGGGGGGAAGGCACTTGTTTGTTTTTAGAACTTTTTGAGTTGAAAACAGAATAGGAGTGTTTGAGTTGAAATGCAAAGACTGTTTTTATAATGGGAGTGTTTTTGTTTTCATTCCAAAGCAAAACTCATGTTGGTGAGACGTGGTGCGGTGAAGTGGTGCAAACTCACCGTGCTGACGCCCGCTTGCCTCACACATCGGAGACTTTTGCGATTTGCAAGATCCGGAGACCTGTGGCGATGCATGTGGGGAGCAAGGGCATCGCTACTAGGAACAAGTGCATCGCTACTAGGAACAGGTGCCTTACTAGTAGTAACAAGAAGCTACTAGGGGCTCCTGGCCTTACTACTAGGAGCAAGAAGCTACTATAGACAACGCTTGCCGAGGTCGGAGATCTGCCTCTGAAACAGCGCAAAGCTGCACGCGCAAATGGCGATGGCATGAGGCCTTTCTCCTGAGATTTGTACTGGAAAGTTGCCAGTGCTGAGCAAACCTCCCGACGCTGCATTTGGACAAACTTCTCAGTTCTCCCAAAAGCTCTTCCTCTATTTTCGGCTGTCACTCACTGAGCCACTTCGACGATTTTCGACGACTTTGGCAACTTTTCGACAGTTATATTGCTTTGGTGGCATCCACCTCGATTTTCGACCGCAGTCACACGCTTGGGCAACCTCGACCTGGATTTTTCGACGACAGTTACACACTTTTCTAGTAGTAACAAGTGCCACGCTAGTAGTAACAAGTGCCTTACTAGTAGGAACAAGAAGCCATTAGAAACAAGTGCATCGCTACTAGTAACAAGTGCCTTACTAGTAGTAACAAGAAGCTAGTAGTAACAAGTGCCCTTCACCTCGATGTTCGGCGCAAAAGCACGGCCACTTTCACCTTTGTTGTTCGACCGTTGAAACGGCCTCAAGAGGCGGAAGAGTCATGTGTGGAGGTGGTAGTAGTGTAGGTGAATTTGTGTCTTCACACCTGTATCTATATACACTTGTGGGATAGCATCTGCGTCTATGTGGCTATGTTGTCGCAGTTGCATCAATCGCATCTCTACACCTATGTGATGATGAGGATGATGATGGTTGCAAAGATCATTATGATAAAAGTACGGTTGATGCGAATGATGCGATGTTGATCACTATGGTGCTGATGACGATGGTTGGACAGTTCAAGTTGGCAGCCGTTCTTTGAGAAAAACCCTTCGCAGGTGCTTTCGGGAATAAAAGGACAAGACAACATAAAAAAACAAGTGAAGTGGCGAGATGTCCACGATGAGAACAAGAAACGCAAAGGAATGCAACGCTATGCTACGCTGCTACGCTGCACAGGCACTAGCCTGCTGGTCAGCGCTGGAACAAACCCGGGTGACCGTCGACTACCTCTCAAAGCCAAGTAGCCTCGCTCGGGCGCCCTCAGCGTGTTATGTCAAATCGGAGGTCAAAGACAACAGACGTCAAAAACATTTTGGACTAAACTACTAGCAATGGCCTCCAACCTCATCAAAAACATATCAAACACTTGAAGACATAAGACTCTCAAAACGCCAAGAAAAAGACAGAGCTCCTTTTCTTGGCTTTCTAGAACCGTCTGAGTCTATTAGGCATTCATCTGCTGAAACATTATTTTTCTCTGCTTTCTTGGACATTGCAGCATTTTGACCTCTTAGGTAACGACCAAAAATGCCAAAGATCTCATAGCGATCAAAGTTATGGCAACAGATTCAGGACGCAAACTTCTCCAAGAACAGCCTGCAGCTTCTTGCGCCTCAAATTCAACATGTCACAGAAATTCATTCTTTGTCACGTTCCACAACTCACAACAATGTGGTCACTTTTGCTTACAGCTCTGTTTTTGTAAATGGCGGCCTTTTGCAGGCGCTGCTTCTTCTTCTTTTCCTACAATCTATCTATTAGTCGGGGGGCTGAGCTGCGAAAACTGTTGGGGTAAAAGGAAGAGGAAGCTTAGCACAGTCGGTGCGGTTACCGTTGCTACACTTCAGTTAGTGAGACGCAAAAGGAAGAAAAACCCTTCCGCGGTAGAAAGATATCGAAAGGGTTCCTAAATGTTCCTAAGGTCCTATAGGTCCTAGAGCCAAACGTGCTTTGAAGCGTTCTCAGGCTGTGTCTCCGGCAGTCTGGATCTGACCTCAGGATGAAAAAGCTTACTTACATGGATAGAAGCTCCTAGTAGCTATTTTCTCCTAGTAGCGATGCCAGGAGCCCCTAATAGCATCCTTGCTCCTAGTAGCGATGCCCTTTGCTCCTAGTAGCTCCGGTAATAGCAGCAGTCTAAGAAGGTGTCACGGTTCCCATTTTCCCATTCCCCCAAGGCGAGTGTTCGCACCGTTCAACCTACAGACTCTCTCCCTCTCCTTCTCTTTCAGGTCTCAGAAGAATACGCTGTAGTGAGGCCATCGCTACTAAGGTGGAGGCCATTGCTACTAGCAATTGAGGGCAATACGCTGTAGAGAGGCTCTTGCTCTTTCTCCAACATGAACAACCTGCAAGAAGAGTCGTGCAGATGACTGAATCAGTCGTCTTGGAGGATTGAGAAAAGTCGTGAGGCCATGAGAGAAACAATCTTTCTGCAGTAAAGCAAACAATTTGCTACTAGTAGCGACGCACTTGTTAGTTACATCAAACCTTTCTTCCTTTGTTCTCTTTGTTTCTATTAGTGATGGCCTCCAACCTAGCAGCAAAGTCTTTCTGCGCTTGAGTTGGACTTCAATCTTGGCTACTGATGCTTCAAAGGACTCTTAGACTCTTATATCTGGGCCTGACAGAATGCTCTTTGAACGATGCAAGCAGAGTTAGTTCTTGTTTGCAGTAACGCAACATCTTTACTCGTGAGTTAGTACACTTGAGCCTCTGGTTTGGCAAACACGGACGCCGCCATTCTGCTCATTGGAAGGAAAAGCAAAAGGGAACCCCAAAGAAACGGGCTGCCCTCCCACCTACTAGCGATGGCCTGCAACCTAATAGCGATGAACCCCAACGAATCTCTTTAAGCTATCTTTTTGCTTTTGGCGTTGCACGTATGAACTGCTCTGCTCTGCACTGGTGTACTGGCTCGTTAAACGTAATCAACTCTTTGCCACCGCATCATGGACATGTCGCAGCTTAAGCGCCTACGTGGCACTGGCAGATAGATCTTGTGCAAAAACATCCGAGCTACTAGGGGCTCCTGGCATCGCTACTAGGAGCAGGGACGCTACTAGGGGCTCCTGGCCTTACTACTAGGAACAAGAAGCTACTAGGAACAAAGGGCATCGCTACTAGGAACAAGAAGCTACTAAGGGCTTCATGGACGACTTCAATTCATTGTCCGCTTTTGACTCATTCGCCTCGCCCTTTCTGTACAGAGATCGGGGGCATCCCCACAGGATGCCCTGGGACAGCGATCGAAACAACTCCGTTGAGAAACTCTACGGACCAGACGAGTTCGAAAAGGTGTCCAAACGTAGTGTGACAGTATAGCTAGGGTTGGAGGTTATGGTGTTAAACTCAAGTGTTAAACCCACTTCGTTCATTCGACTCTCACTCTTCGACTCTCACACTGAAGCATAGCTTCTGGTGTTAAACAGTAACTTGGACGTCCGGAGTCCACAGCCGTGCGAAGCACAAGCCGGTTCAAGGGGCCGTCCGAAGCTACTAGGAGCAAGGCACCCTACTAGTAGCAAGGGCGCTACTAGGGGCTCCTGGCCTTACTAGGAGCAAGGGCCTTACTACTAGTAACAAGGTGCCTTACTACTAGTAGCTAGAAGCTAAACATTGTCGGATGCACTGCCAAGCAGAAATGCGTGTGAGAATAAGTGAAACCAAACAGCGTCCAGATCAGGATGTACCCTGGATTTCTTATGCAGTGCTTCCTTCCTTCCTCGCAAATGGAAAAGTTCTGTCCTATGGCATGCCTTTGCTGGCGTGAATGATAGTGCAACTATGACTTCCAGTTGTTCAGAATCATGTATGCACACTATTGGTTATATCATAATTTACAAAGGCCACCATCTCATTAGGTTGGAGGCCATCGTTCATTGGTGGTGCCATGCCCACTTTGGTTCAGCTTCACCAGCGCTCCTCAACCTGGTAGCGCTGATCGGCGATCATGCACAGCGCTGCTGCGCCCGCCCACAGTTTACTTCATAGACCATATGGTTCATTTCGCCATCTTGGTTAGAGAGTAGACAGCCCTGAACAAGGTGCATTACTACTAGTAGTAACGCTAGTAGTAACAAGGGCATTTCATTACTACTAGTAACAAGAAGCTACTAGTAACAAGGTGCATCGCTACTAGTAGCAATCCCATGTCAGTGTTTTCAGGCCGATTCATCAACGTACTGTGCACCTTGTAGAAGCATCAACGAGCAACATAAGCAGACATGAACAAACTACACACAACGGCAGATTTACAGCACACCTTTTGCAAGCATTGTATGCAGTACGCCGTTCTATGAGAATGACCGTCACTGGACTTCTACTCTAGTAGCTAAAGGAAGCTGTGCCTCTCTTTGGGGCGTGTATCGATCCAAGCAATTTGAACCAAACTAGTAGCAAGGACGCTACTAGTAGGATGGTGCATGGCTACTAGTAGCAGTTTGAACCAAACTGAAACATCCACTGCAACACCCCGCCTGCTTGCTTGAAAGACTCAGCAGTAGAGCTGAAGGCCGTTTAACTTCTTGTCCGCGCCTCAAGAACAAGAAGACCGAGGTGTTTGGCAATCCAAATTTCAAGCAGCAGCAGTCGTTGAATCATAGCCGTAGTAACACTTATTAGTCCAAGGGGAACGGAAACGGGAAGAGAAGGGAAGGGAAGGGAAGGGCAAGAAGCAACAAAACAACAACACTAGCAACCGTAGCAGTGGTCGTGGTGGTAGCAATAAACAACATTGATGCCCTAGTAGTTGTCGTCCGAGTGGTAGCGGCAGCAGTACAAAAAGCAAACGCATAGCAGCAGTAGCAGTCGCAGTAGCTCGCGCTGCCAGCAATGATGCACAGTCTGGATCTAACATATTGTCCTGGTCTCTTTAGAAACTTCTGGCTATTCCGCGAACTACTTTCGTTGCTAAGTTTTGGGCCTAGGCGTTAAACACAAATGCTGAACGTGGACACTAATCTAATCTTTTCTGTCTTGATTTTTCAACAAAAACAATTCCACATCTGGTCTTGCCCAAAGCCTACTCATACTGGTCATGTCCACAGTGCTTTCGCCTGGGGCCTCGGCATTTTTGGGCGCACTGGTTGAGCCAATTTGTCCGTTCTTCAATCAGCTCTTTGAGGTGTTTCTCTTGTTTCTCCTGCCAATTGAGAGCTATTGCAACTTAGACTTACACACCAACCGCCGCAACAGGTCAGATCGACAACCCTAGCGATACAAACACTTTGGTGCACAGGCGCGCACAGACATGCGCATGTGCGCGGGTCAAAAAAAGTAGCAATGAAAACCAACAAGTCTTCCAAAACCTCCAGGGTTGAGTTTCAAGCTGTGATGATGTAGCCGCGAAATCAACACACGGGAGGGTACCCGTGAAGACCTCGCATAAACTAACCGCCCTTCTGAAAGTACTGTGAAGTCGCGCGAAAGTCAGACGTTAACAAAAATAGTTGAACTTTGTTTTTGTTTCTCTAGAAATCTAGGAACCAAATCGCCAGTCGGTTGGAGGCCATCGCTACTTGGTTGGAGGCCATTTCTATTAGGTTGAACCTCCGAACCTGGAGTTTAACTTCGTTCTTGTTCTTTGTTCTCATCCTTTCTGTTTCTGCCTTCATTGAATGCGACGCTGATTCTTCACGTCCTCACTGACCGACGAGCCCAAGTTTGACAGGATGTCAGATGCACCGAATCCGAAGTGTGCCTGAGCAGGTCCGCCCTCTTGAGCAACTCGGGACTCCACATGGACTCTACATGCTACTAGGGTGGAGGCCATCGCTAGTAGGAACAACTCTTCAACCAAAGATTTCCACTTGGACGCACATCCGCCTCCAAGTAATGTCTGCCGCGCTCGCCTTCAGCAAAAGCAAATCTCCGAACTACTTTCTCATTGAAAGGAAGGCTCTTCAAACACCCACTGAATCTCCTAGTGCCCTTTGTTCCTAGTAGCTTCTTGTTCCTAGTAGTATGGCCAGGAGCCCCTAGTAGCGTCTTTGCTCCTAGTAGCGATGCCCTTTGTTCCGAACGTAGCGTCCTCCTAGTAGGGAATGTTGTCAAGCTCCGTCGATCTTTCTAACGCTTGCGCCAAGCAACATGCATGATCAGCCATGTATGCTGGCGTCGCATAGCCAACAGACTTGTCTGCCCGAGAGTACATGTGGCAAAGCTGAAAGGTGATGGTCTCCTTTGCGAAGGCCCAAGTCAAGAAACCATGCAGTGCCAAAACAGCTTCTTCTACACATGTAGGCCATCGCTGCTAGGTTGGAGGCCAACGATCACTATTAGGTTGGAGGCCATTGCTAGTAGAATGTGTTCAATATGTTCTAGGAGCAAGTTCCGCTGCAAGTTACGCTCCCCTTTCACGGAACCAATTGCAAAACAGGATCGAGATCGTCCACCTTGATTCCTTTTTGGACCAAACGCTTGTCCATATGCAAGACATGATAGTGGCAGGGCACGCTGGTCCCCTGGATACCTGGCTATCAGGAACTCGCCCTTTGTTTACTTGCAAGACTGGACATGGTATGAGCAAAATTCACTTCCTACGGTGCTTTCTATTAAAACATTTCTCTCCTTCAAAAACCCGCTGTTTAAGTGTCCAAAAGAAAAAAACACACCATGTTTTGGTGATTTTCTGTGTAAGCGATGACCAAAGACTTCGTTTCCATCTTGCCTTCCTGAGAGACGAGGAAGAAGTTCAAATGGCTGGGCTGTGCAATGCTCTCGCCAGCCACAGTGCCTGCTGGGACCTGATCAATCACAGAAGGAAAGGAATGCAAACACATCGATGAAAGAACATGACATTGTTCTGTCGAACAATCTGTTACAATCGCACCTGGGCCGCGTCCTTTCCCTTGCCCTTGCCTTTGCCTTTATCATCCTTCCCCTGAGCACCACACAAACAGCGTCTTGGAACGCCTCTTCCCCCTGCGTCACAACACCCTTGCCTTTCCACTTCCGCCTTTTCCGCCCTCTTCCATCCAAAAGCGGTGATGGTGCCGTTTCCTCGAAGAAAACAACACAAGAGCGACATCACTTGTCTGAAACTCTTGTCAAAACCTGAGCTCCAACTCGTTTTGGAAAGGATCCCCCACACAAAAACACTACGATGTTCTTTGCCACTTTTCCTTTCTCCTTCCTTTCCTTTTGACTTCTCTCCTTTTCCTTTAGACCTTTAGACTAAAGACCTTTTTCCTTTATCTGTCTATCTGTCTTTCTTTCTCCTTATGAACCAATTCCCAGTGCTGCCGGCCCAGGCACTGGCCCACGATGATGATCAGCTGTGGATCATACTTCGCAGACACTCTCTTGAAGCCTTCCAAGTCTTCGTCGTTTCCGCGAACGCATGCTTAGCGCTAAGCGCCTGCTTCTTTGCGTGGATCATTTACTACTGAAACTGTTTTGAAACGACCAGCCCGTTCGTAGCAAGTAGTAGTTTCCTTGGTGCTTAATTCTCCTAGCTGCCTGATGCTGCCTGGATGACCTACCTACCCTCCCACCCCGACATTCGGCCTTCTGAGAAACAGAACGTCTAGCTGGGTGTTCCTACTAGCGATGGCCTCCAACCTCAGAGCATCCTTGCTCCTAGTAGCGATGCCCTTTGTTCCTAGTAGTAAGTCCAGGAGCCCCTAGTAGCGTCCTCTTGTTGCTTTGGCGCCTTCACTCAGAAGATTCAACTCCCGGGTCAACACATTCACGAATTGGCCATCAGAGACACCATCACCTCACACGTTGCCCCTCTCTCTC